AATGGGCCCGTGAGATCCACTTCACGAGGAACACGCATCGAGCGCCCATACTTGGCTGAAGCTGGTGTTCCAGATGCCTTCCCTCACATCACTGAAGCTGTCCAGAATCTACGACGAAGTCGCCTTCAAGAAGTTTGGACAGGCAGTGAAGAAGAGAAGGAGGGGCAAGGGTCAGGCAATGAAGGTGACAACGTCAATCCCAAGCATGTCGAGTTGGAGCACGACACCTACCTGACTGGCAACGCAGCCTCAAAGGGCGAGGTCAACATTTGGCACCTCTCTCCGGCCGATCGAGCTCTTTTCGATGCATCCATGGCAAAAGAATGGTCTTCATGGCAGCGCTTCGGAGCTGTGGAGATCCTCACTGAAGAGCAGGTCGAGAACTTACCTGACGACGCTCCAATCGTCGGGACCCGTTGGGTGCACACCGACAAGAACAAACGACCTCGACTGATGGCCGCCGCTATGTCCAAGAGGACGGGCAAGACCAAGCAACAGATCGAGAAGGAGTTCCCCTTCGAAGCAAAGTCAAGGATGGTCGTGCAGGGCAACCAAGAAGATGAAACTGGCATCAGGTCAGATAGCCCTACCGCATCTTTGCTGGCCTTCAAGCTCATTTGCGCCATCTCTGTGATGATGGATTGGAATCTCCGAGCTTGTGATGCCTCCACAGCCTACCTGCTGTCTCAGGGCATCAGCAGGCTCTTGATCCTGCGACCTCCAAGCCCGCCGCCTCCAGGAGTCTCCCCATTCGACCTGCGAGCAAAAGGGTCCATCCGAGATGCTGGCAGCTCATGGTGGAAGAAGCTCTTCAAGACTGTCAAGCACTACGGCTGGATCATGTCCCGCATCGAGCAGGCCCTCTTCTACCTGTTCGTGGATGGCAGCCTACAAGGCGTGATGGCCACACACGTAGACGACTTGTTCTGCACCGGCGCTGGTGAGAAGTTCCAGGCCACTCTCAAGGGTCTGGAAACCGACCCCCACTTGAAGGTGAAAGAAGATGATTTCCGCTTCTGCAGAAAGACGTGGAGCTCGACCAGGTTGACGCCATCGAGGGCATCGACTATGTCATCCTCAAGAAGGAAAGAAGGTGCTCACCAAATGCACCACTCACAGAGGAAGAGAAGTCCGAGTTCAGAGGACTGATCGGCTTTTTAGGCTGGATCTGCCGCCAAACCGGCCTGACCTGCTGGTCAATGTCAGTCTGGCAAGCCAGACGATGGGGAAGCCTACAATCAAGGACATCGTGGACTTGAACCGAGCGGTGAAGATGCTCAAGGACACCGCCGACTGCCCACACCCAAAGCTCACTTGGGAAAGCTGCACCGTGGGCGTCTTTGCAGACAGCTCCTTCGCCAACACTAATCAGATGAAGTCGCAATGTGGCTACATCATCGGCCTCACGATCCCAGAGATCAAGGATGGTGGTGAAGCGCCCTTCCTGATGGTCGAAGCCAATTCCGGCTCCATCAAGAGAGTCTGCCGCTCCACATTCAATGGATTCCTCCAAGGCTCTGAGGCCGGCGACTACCTCCGGTCCATCCTGGTGGAACTGAAGAACCCCGGTCGTCCGCTCCGGGAGTTGGAAAGTGAGTTTGGGAAGCCACCAATGGTGGCAATCACGGACGCAAAGTCCCTCGAGTCCACCATCGTCAAGGACGCTGGTCAGCCAAGCGATAAAAGGGTGAAGCTGCTAGTGGCGCAAGTGAAGGAGATGCTCGGCTACACCGACTATGAGGATGGCAACCAGCAGGTGATCTGGTGCGATACCTCGCAGATGCTGGCTGATGTCCTGACAAAGTCAGGGTGCGAGCGAGAGCCGCTGCTTCAGGTGATGGACACCTGTGTTTGGCGCCTGCAGCCTTCAGAGGAGGCCCGAGTGCGGAAGCTCATGATCCGCGCCGGCAGGCGCAAGACCGAAAAGAGGTCCCAAACCTTTCATGACTGTGAAGCTAAGGAGGCGTCAGAATCGGACATGCAGAATCAGCATGAGGGTTCAGCTTTTGCATACCAGAGCGCTCTTAGCCTCAAGGAAAAGCGCTAGCTCGAGCGTCCGCGCCGCCGTGCCGCTTTTGATCCTTTCTTTACAAGGATGCCTTTCTTTCTAGCAGTTAGGGACGCTTATTCAAAGCATTTGTTTAAGAGAGGGGCCTGTTGTGGGCGGCAGAAAATTGAGACACATGTTATTGTTTTTTGCACATCCTAAATGAAATGACGCCAGGTATGAACAGATTGCACGTTAGGCACATACTGTTTCAAGAAAAGTAGGAACCAAACTTAGAAAAATAGAGCTGGACATGGGAAAAAAGAAACAAGAAACATAATGACAGTACTCTAGGAATAGAAGATGAAAAGGAAACAATGAATAAATGATGAACAATTCCTTTCAGCTTCCTTGAAGCAGGATATATAGATTGATATAGTTCCTTGCATGTTCCCTTTGAACAATGATAAATTCCTTTCATTTTTCTTTTAAGCCGTATCAATTCTGCTCATTACTTTGCAAAGGAAAATGACACGAATTATATACTCAGGTTTGGAGGGAAAATAAAAAGTACCAATCTCTTTTTAAAGAAAAAATGAAAGGAATGAATGAGTCCTCTTTAAAAGGGCATAAAAGGAATTAATCATCTATAAAAGGAAAATGAACTGAGTTAATACATTTTTAAAAGAATTCGAAAGGAATTGATTATAACCATTTTGAAAGGAACATACAAATGAATAATAACTGTTCAAAAGCATTGATCAGTTTTGCTTAAAAGATTTTCTAATTTCCTTTCATTCTTACACGAAACGACATTATTTTAGAGGGAACATGAAAGGGATTGACTACATTTAAAAGGAAATAATCATTGTTAGAAAGAACATAGAGAAACTATTTTGTTGTTGAGGGAAAATAAAGGGACATAATTGAAAATACATCAACAACATAATATAATAATGTTTAAAAGGGGAGAAACAAACCAAAAATAATCATTCTTAAAAGGAAAGGTAAAGGAAATAATCACTTTGAAAATTGATAATCTAGTTTTTAAAGCAACATAAAAAGAAATAGTAATGTTTAAAGTTAAAAGGATTGAAAGGGCACACGCTGAAAATAAACACGTGAAAATAAACATTTTTTAAAGGAAAAACATGAAATAATCAGCGTGTAAATAAATCAGCTTTTAAGGCAAATTGAAGGACATAATCATATTTTAAAAGCAAAATATAAGGAAATACATGTTTAAACAAAAATGAATTGATCATGCTCAAAAGGAAGAAGGGTGACCGGACCTATTGGCTTCCTTTCTTTTCATTTTTGGAACATTTGCACCAGTTTTCCTATTTTTACTATTGTTGAACATTGTCCCGTTTTCCTATTTCTGATTGTGGATAGAATGCAGTTACTCAGGATTGATCCAAGTGAATCACGATCAGACGAAAACCTCGAGAAGACAATAAAAAACGATTTGGCAACTAGTCCAGAGACCAGACTAGTTGTGGAAACATTGTTATTGTTTTTTAGTTTTTGTTTTTCACAAGAATTCAGATTGAAACGTATTTCCTGAGAAGTCTTGTTGTGAAAACTGTTGCTTTTTACATCAAGTATGATTAATCCAGATTCATTTGTGCTTCCAGAGTGCAGCAGGCAAACGCACCAAATACAGGCACACATCCTCTCATGCCACCCATGCAGCAAAGCCAGTGGTAACATGTGGGTTTGGTCAAATGTTGCTCCGCCCTCAACAGGCCTTTCTGTTGTTTAAAGTGCCTTTGCCTTTGTCAACACATGCCATCCGATAGAATCTACACGTTCATATAGACATCCCACCTTATCCAGAAGCCCCTCCGTCTTACAACACCATTCTCCTTTGCACAATTATCTGTAAAGGCTTCGTCCACAAACAGCAACCGGCCAAGAAATGAAGAGCCAGTTAAAGAATGTTAAAGAGTAACAAGCAGACAATCAATTTTCATGTATTTGGTCTAGCTGTTTATTCTTTGACATTGAATATGGCTTTCTTTTGTTTCTTGGTATTTCTAAGGGTTGCAGCATCCAATAAGAAGAGCTAAGCAAGAAAAATGGAAACTGTTGACCAAAGAGAGACCCTCGAGAATAGAAACGGCTTGTGAACAAGACACCCCAAAAAGAGCAAAGAGGTGAAGAGGTCAGGAATCAAACAAAGGCATATAGAGAGAATACACATGAATAAACTCTACATGTTTCTTGTGTGTTGCACTGTGGCACCCCCTATTTCGGTGCGACCTGCATTAGCCTTATATAGGTTGGTGCAGCTATTCCATCAGATTGTCCCTGTGGGATAGCTGTGAGACAGCTAGACTCTGGAGAGAGAGAGAGAGAGAAGCACCAATATATAGGAGCGATGAGGGACACAAATATGGCAAAGGAGGGGCTTATCCAAATTAGCAATGCAACCAGGTAATCAAGGAAAATAGAGAAGCGAGTCAAGAAAAGGAACAACAATTTTGAAGCTTGTTGGGTGGTATGCAAGAAGGGTTGAAAGATATTTCATTGATATGGTTTTATAGAAGGCCTGAGCAAATTAAGTAGGATGGGAAAAGCTGAGGAGTAAGCAAGTACTACTTGAGCCGACTAATCAAGAAGGGAATGCAAGTCAATCAGCAGGGCACAACAAGTCAAGATTGCTAAGTGCCAAACAAGTTGTACAGGATGATGGAAAAGCCAATAGGTCCAGATTCATAGAACCCCTCCACACTCTATAGAACAAAAACCTGGAGAGCAAGAAACAGTGCAAAATCGTGGACATGCAATTTCGAACTGCGTCCGGAATTCATGGCTAAGACTTCACCCAGACCTTACGCCCCTGAAACATCTGAAACATGTTTTTGTTTTGGCTATTGCTTGGTCATTGGGTGCTTACTTGGCCGTGTCAGTGGTTTGGAGAGGGTGGAACAACTTCCGGGGGGCCTTCCATTCTGCATGTTCAAGTCTACATAAGGTCGTGTCTCTTAGTGTTGTAGCCTCCCCTGAGGAGGCGTCTGCCTTCAAGAACCTTTTGAAAGCTGCAAGCTTTGGGCGACACTTCTTGACGGAGAGTCCAGGGTGTCCCGATCGGCATCGTGAGGCCGCCCGTTCGGCTGAAAAGGAAGCACATTTGGTAGTGGCCACCGGGCATAGTCAAGCCAAAGAGAGAGAGGGAGAGAGAGAGAGAGACCTGCAGAGGCCTGTCGAAGTCTTCGGATTTGCAGGGAGCTACGCAAGGCGCCCATTGAGATCCCTATTACCCCTGCGCAGCTGGAGAAGCTTGGTATAGCAGGCACAGCCCGTGCATGGAGTCTTCCAATAAAATCCCACGTGTCCCAAGTAGTACTGGGTGGGCCTAAGCCTCCCAAGTATCTTTCTTGCAGCGCTGGCTCTGTCGATGGCCCAGATGTGTGGACGATGTGTGGAACTATTGAGACTTAACACTGATCATCCAAACCTGCCCGGAAAAAGCTCCCAACAAAGCGTCGTTGAAAGGAAAGCACGCCTATAAGACTCGTGTCGTACTGGTGGCTTTCATGCTTTGTTTTGAACAGTCTGAGTTTTTTTCTTGGGTCGCATTGGCATGGGCTTTGATGTAGGTGCCATGTTGGCTTATCCCTTGTGTCCAATTCAAAAACATGTTGAAATCATCAAGCAATGGTTGTACATGATTGCATGTGACCTCCTGCCGAATGAGCATCCCTGCCTACAGCGTCATTTTTACAGATCCCTGAAAGCAACAACAAGGGCGTGCAGTCAGCCGCCTTGCCACTTCAAAGTGGCCATGGAGAAGGTCTATGTAAGCAAATTACTTTTGACCTTAGGTTGGAGGCCATCTCTAGTAGGTCAGAGGCCACGCTATTCGGTTGGAGGCCATCGCTAATAGGTCGGAGGCCATCGCTAGTAGGATGGAGGCCATCGCGAGTAGGTTGGAGGCCATCGTTAGCAGGTTGGAGGCCATTGCTAGTGTTAAAGGATGAACACCATCCTGAATTCTGCATGTTTCAAGACGCTTGCCAGAAGACTTTTCAGGACCTTGCTGTGTGACAGAGATCAAATTGGCCCATTCTTTCTTCACCCTGCCTGCCCTCCTTGGAAGTATCTGAAGGTTTCTTTCAGGACTTGGCTATTGCACTGGTTGCTGCCCGTGCCACTGTGATGGTTCTTCTTCTCTACCCGAAACTGTTGTATATAGTGGTGTCCCATGTCATTGTTTGCTTTTGTGGTGGGCTGCAAGAAGGCAGCCAGTGCAGACCCAAATGCAACGTGGAGACGTAGGTCATACATACTTTTTCATAATCCTGATTTGAAATGTGGAGAGATGGAACCAGTTTATCGTTTCATTGTTTCATTTGCATCCGATCGACAAGTGTTTTGCCCGCAGCGTTGTGATGCTGTGGTGTAGGAGCAAGTCTTAATGTACCACTCCCGGGTCAACTTAAAGTCTTCCAATACTTGTGAAATCACTTTCATGGCATGAGCTCTAACTTGCAGGCTTGAGCCTGAGGCTGGCACAGCGCCACTTCCACTTGCTTGCTATGCGGATCTGTGAGTGGGTGGGGCATTCTCAAGAAAAGGTGCTTTTTCACTGGGCATGCGAGAAGATACGCCATGCAAGAGGCTCACCACAGACAGACGAACAGCTATGTCATACAATTCTGGACAAGTTTCAGCGCTGCCCTGGCATTGGCCCCTTGGCTGCTTGAGCTTGTTTGTCACGCCTTAGTTTGTTTGGATCTGCTATCTCAGAGTTTTGTTCTGCACTTGTTGCTTGTTCAGTGTCAGGCTTCGCAGAAGTGGCACGTGTGGCAGCTGAGATGTACCGACCACATTTGGCAACCTTGCTGTTGAACCATGAGCCACGAAGCCACGCACAAGTGGAAGTCTTGGTGCAGCTGAGCAGAGAAGGAGACGAAAAGGACAGAGATATCATGCTGCGCTTGGCTTTGGATAAAGCTGCACGGAGCTGGGATCCCGATCTCATGAACTCTGCACTTTCTGCTGCCTGCTTCGGGGATCCGTGTGAACGAAGGTCTGACATTCAGAGCTGTGCCAAACTAATCAAGGAACGACTTTATGAACTTCAAGTGGTGGGTGATATGGTAACCAGACAGCTGATGCGGGAGCAGTTTGATCGAGCACGAATGTTCAATGATCTTCTGGACAGAAAGCGCCAAGCAGCCTTTGCAGCCCTGCACAGGGTCTTCCGACAAACGAGCTATGATGAGCGGACCAAGTTGCTGAGGTTTTCGAAAGATCTATTTGGAATGAATGACCCAATAGCAACGGATGCCGAAAAGTCCTCCATGCAATTTATGGCCCAATCCTGCGCAGAGGAAATGGAGCTCTTAGCAGAGCAACTCTCTTTAGAGGAAAAGGCAACTGCAAAGAGCTGGGGCCGTGGCCGGACACAGCGGTTTTTGGGTTTGCCTCTCGTGACCACCTTGGTGAAGCTTTTGGAGTTAGGAGAGGTCCGCGAAGCAGACGAATTGAGAAAAACCATGAAGGTCTCGGACAAGCGCTACTGGCGCATCAAGATTCGCGGCTTGGCGAATGCCGGAAACTTTGAGGAGCTCAATGCCTTTGCTATAGTCAACTCCCCCATCGGTTACGAGCCGTTTGTAGAAACTTTTTTGTGTCTTGGCCGCACCGTATGATATGGTGAAGGAGCAACTATGCATTTGTATTTGATTTTCTCACCCTTGGCTTTTTTGTGGCTTGATGTTGATGGCAGTTTCCAGGCATGCTTGTCAATGTCCTTCCATATTCAAATTGAGTTATTCTTGCGCAAATCCAGGAAACATGGGAGGCAAGACTTTGCCCTGGCCTTGGTGCCAAAGGTAAAAAGTGGTGAGCAGCAAGCACAATACTACCAACAGATGGGTCTGCATGACCAAGCCCAGCGAGCCCGACAAGGACAAGAGCGCTCAGGCGCAGGTCGTTTGTTGAACATCTTAGGCGTGGGCCGGTGACACACATTTGAGGATGTGCAAAAAAGCCGACTGGAAGATCCACTAAGCCTTCATACATACCATGTGTTTTGTCCCTGCAAAACGCAGGGGTGCACAGGGCTGGCTTAGAAAACAGAGCAGTAGCGAGCTCAACATGCATGCGTGGCACTTCTCACCAAGCAACTCGAGTGGTCAATCCTACCACCGGCTAACTTGCTCGAGAAAGTGAGATTGTTATGATATCCATGCACAGTCAGCAGCGCCTCATAGCACGCCTCACACCAGGCACGATTATGTAGCAGGTCAGGGGCACTCATTGTCATTTACGTGGCATGTGCTTGAAAAGAGTCCTTGTAGGTAATCCTTATGGACTTCCAAGTGGTTCATCAACTCCCTTTCACCTCATCATGAATAATGCCTCTATTATATAGGCAGTTCAGTCTTGTAGGCATTCGCAGTCGGTTCTCCTGATGCGACATGGCCCGCCGGGGAAGAGGCTTTTTGGTGCTGGTTCTCTCGGCTCTCGGTTGTGTCGCTTGGTGGAGCCGAGATCTCACCAATTTCGTTGGTTCCCCAAGTACCGTTCTCGGTTCGAGTCGTGATGCCGCCCTTCAGCAGTTGCCGCTGCGCGCTGAGTCAGAGACTCTCGAGGTGCCACAAGAGCTGAACCCAGTGGAGGAGGTTTTGGCTGGTGTGAGTGTAGCTTTTTCGCTACTGTCCAAGGCCATCGCTTGCAGTGCCATTGTGGGCACTGGGCCTCTTGTTGGACTTTGGTCATGTGTCGCCTTGGGCTTCGCCAGCATTGCGGGCATGCGTCCTGGTGTGGTGGCGGGCGCTGCAGCGGTGATAGTGGTGCCTTTAGGTGCTTTCACAGCACAACATGGTCTCGGCCTAGTGCCTCTCGTTGTCCTGCTTGCAGCATTGATTCAATTTTCGGCTGGGGCAGTAGGCTTTGCTAGAGCCGTGGATTTGGTCTCCAAAGAGGTGCTAGCTGGATTCCTCAATGCACTAGGCCTTGCACTGCTTCTGTCGCAGTCTGGCGCCCTCTCCACGCCAGAGGCCGCTGGCCTGGCCTTGATTTGTGCTGGAATCACGCTCTTCCTGCCATCGGCACCAGTTCCATCATCGCTCGTGGGTCTTGCCGTGGCATCCGCCGTAGGGGCCGTATTGAATTTCGATGTGCCAACACTGGCGACAAAGGCGAAAGATCCAATGGCTTTTGCGGGTGGCTTGGCAGCTTTGCCTCAGTTCCAGTTGCCTCAGCTGCCTTCCATGGAAGACATCTCAATCGCACTTCCTTGTGCTGTGTCTATTGCATTCATTTCGCTTTTGGAGACCCTGCTTGCGGCTCGTGTGGTGGATGACCGCAAATGCGAAGAACTTTGCACCTTTTTCTACGATGAAAATGGAGAGTTGGTCATCACCGGTCCCGACGGAAAGCCAGCACCGGTTGATGTGCCTACTTCAACAGTCCTGTCCCTGGCTGCCGGCAATGGCTTGTCAGTCTTATTTGGTGGCTTTGGAGGCTGTGGCTTGGTTCCTCAAACGGTCCTCAATCTGAACTCAGGTGGTGGTGGCTTCATTTCCGTCGCGGCCTATGCTGCATCAATGGTGCTTTTTGCTCTGGTTTTGGCACCCATTGTGGGGCAGATCAGCGTGCCCGCCTTGGCTGGCATCATGGTTGCCGTGTCATTAGACACAATGCAGTTTGGGCCTACGCTGGATGCGGCAAAGGCGGCCTTAGCTGGGGAGGAGGGTTCCCGTATCCGGTTCGGAGTGTTAGTCGCAACAGCAGTCCTTTGCTATGAAGTGGACTTTGCTGTGGGCATCGTCAGCGGTGTTCTTCTTGATCGAGCCACCAGCCCAGGAGGCATTTTCAGTGAGAACAAGGCGGCGGCCTAGGTGAGGAATGATCAGTGAGAAGCCAAGTTTGCGCCCTTTTGTTTTCCATTGATTTTCCGCAGCTTTCGGGTTGCGATTGAATGCAATTACTGTGTCATACTACCGTGTCACTGTGCCCGCTGGCAAAACAGAATCATGGTCGAGCACTTTTGGCTTGGTGCTGTCATACTGAGATTTTGAGGAGGCCTGGTCACTTCAGGTGTTGTGCCAAAGGCTTAACCACGTAGCCATGCTTTTGAACGGCATGTGTCATGTGTGTAGCAATGCTTCGCTTTTGTGAAAAGTTATGGCAGCATGGCATCTAGAATTTCCAATCACAAAGGGTTGCAATGCACCCTCAGGGAACTGGAAACAGGACAAGCACAGAGGAACCCCCCAACAAAGCCACAAGTGGACTTCACCACCCTGGCCGCACACCAAGCTTGTGGCGGTCAATGTCCCTGGCAAGCCGGAGAACAGACGGGACAATGCAGCACCGCATTGTCTCAGCAGGACCACTCGGTGCATGACCTCCTAGGTCGCAACGCTCTCACTCAAGCACAAAAACAGGAGGTTCCTGTCTCCAGAAAAGGGTCCATACCACCGACCGTAAGCAATTGGCGAAGAACATTGAACGCAGACACTTGAGAAGGAGCTCGCAGCATTAAAGTCAGAGTGATGCCAGGAGTGCGTTACGATCTAGTGCAGAAACGACCTGAGGAAACTGGAAATGGCCCTGTGGAAATAGAAAGGCGAGTCAGCAACAGTTAAAGTGTACATCAAAATTAAAAGGCAAAGTCCGTCTTCGTGGGTCCAGAGACAACTCATAACTGTCTGGACCGGATCCCCTGTTTTCGAATTCTGAGCAACGCCCATGGAGTCATATGTGTGAGAAAGATCTGACAAGTAAGGAGGTTGGAAATTAGAAATCGCACCATCAAACATCGCTGTACATGAGAAACGTGAGTTGCAGCAAAGTGCTTGAACCTTGAAAGCTCTGAAAAGAATGTCCGTATGCCCGGCGGCTTTCGAAACACCGTAGCTCGGCAGCATTGGAAACAGGTGATTCATGGGTGAAACAACTGGGATCCACGAAACCATAATCCAACGAGTGCAGGAAACGCTAGACCAATATGTGATTCACAATGGTCTCAGCGCCCTTGCGGGGGATCACGCTGTGCACCCAAGTGGGACGACACAGCGATACACACTTAGTCACAGGGTTTTCAGTTAACCAGAATCCCCGAGGAAAGGAAGGGCTCAACGGAAAGGTGAAGCGTCCAAGCACTTGAAGGTGTTTTAACAAAACGGCTTCAGTCGCGCAACTGCAGCTGCAAAATCAAAGTCAGCGGAAAGCGGCTGAGAGAAATTGGTTTTGGGAGATAGCATGAACAACCACCATGAAAGCAAAGCAAAAGTGGAAAGAAAAGCTCCTGGAGACGGAGGGTGGCACACACACACACACACTCTCGAGATATTGCGTACGAAGTTGAATGCCTCATGCCACACGCCAGCCTAAGTAAAAAAGACTAAGAGTCCAGCAAAGTAGCAAGTGTTAAGTGGAGAGGCATCTAACAAAATTATCATGAACAGAAGGGAAGCCCCGAAAGTTTAAAAAGTCCAAGTTTGACAAGATGCAACTGCAAGTCTGCCGAGCGCATTAGCGCTTTACGTCGACCTGGTCTAGACTCCCTGAGGACCATTGGAGCCAGTCTGTTCACAAGCAGGTACGTGGAGGTGGCGTCTCACTCATATCCCCGCCAGCTTCCTCGACCAGGCGACGATGTACTCCACCTGGTCCCCTGCTAATTGAAAAAGGCCAAGCGTGGGGGGGCAAAGGCTGAAGCTAAGGTTTAGGCTTGTGTGCATGTGTGCGCACACAAAAGACAAATGGACGAAGACATGAGAAGAAGACGAGACAGGACAAAAGTATGTGGTTGCGATGAAAAGGAGCCAAGTGCACAGGGACATCGCAGGGTGAAACGAGAAATGGAACTCAAAAGATTGTCTGGAACAACATCAAGCACATGAACCACCATGAAACAAACCATGGACCACAGCAACCAACCAACAGTTAACCAAAACAGGTGCGTTTGCACCTCCCTGGCGCGCGCCAGGTTTATCCTGGCTGCAATTGAAATCGATTAAGAAGGAGGCCTAGTTACAGAGGTTGCAGTGATGTTTACTGTATCCCTTAGAAACAGGGAGTGGCACAAACACACACACACAGCAACAGTTGCTCAAACAACAACACGACAAAGGAAATGCTTACACCGACGACCATAAACGTCGGAAATGGTTACAGCGAAAGCACGGGGGAACAATTTCTACTAGTCATTCGCAACGGTGACGCCACCAACACTGACCAACAAATATTGAGAAACCTGCGCGACCACTGGGCTGATGCCTGGGGGCAAACTGAAGAGATCAGGAAACACACAGATGTCCACATTTTCGCTCTTAACTCCCGTCCGTTCTGTGTTACCCCTTGGCCTCTCGCCTTTGACGGCAGTTGCAGATGGGCGTCTCTGTGAGACGGCTCGGTGACGAGCCATGCCGGCGAGAGAGGGAGAGAGAGAGAGACACACAACAAAAGCAGCACATTTTGTGAAGAACCCCCTCCGCCAATGAATTCGTGCGTTTTTTTTGAACACAGTGCTGCACAATCCGCACTCACCACAGTTAACATTTACGTTGCTGAAGTAGCACCTGGCGACTGCACAAAACACATTCCCAGCAACAGTCACTGGCGGACCCGGCTCGCCTGCAACAGAACAACTTGCCAGCCGAATGGCTGATCTCCAAGATCAGCACCCTGAACTACAGTTTGGCCTTTGATAGCAACAGCCACGGCAGCCACGAGCCAGCTGGGCCGGCATTTGCACAACCCACACAACCCGCCGTTAAATGGCGTCCATTATAGAAAATATTGGGACGGCTAGGAATTCACATCAACCTGAAAACGGCTTTGCTTACCAGAGCACGAAGCTTTACCCAGCAAACGCTTCAAACATCTTCAAACCGCACAAGGCCCACAGAGGTTGAATCCGCACACAGCACATGCCACCGCCAGGTTGCGGAAGATGATGCTGCTGTAAGGTTGAGGGCACCTGGTACCTTGCAGCTTCTAATAAACGATTTTGTTTCTTCGTATTTTTCTTCTTCTTCTGCTGCTGCTGCTTCTTCTTCTTCTTCTTGTTTGTGCTCATTTGGCTCGCATCAGGATTTTGCCAGACTCTGCTTAACACTGTCCGCCTCTAATTTCATCCTTCAGCATGTTCCCTTGGTGTCAGTCTTCCAAGACGGTGGCCCAAGGGCAGGTAACGCAGACCATTTCACCACCATAGGGAAGGAGGAGTGACGGCGCACATATATATATATATAAATAAATAAATATATTTATATATATATAACATTCATATTAATATTCGATCATTTCTTCACGGACACAACTCACTCCCTTTCTTACTCGCTCACTCACTCACTCACTCACGCACGCACGCACGCACGCACTCACTCACTCACTCACTCACTCTCTCTCCCTTAAGATATGCCAAACTCATTACAGGTCCACATGTAAACAGCTTCTCGCACACACCTTGAAAATGACACCGTTCATCAAGAAAACAAGGTTGTTGTCCCTTGGAATCTCTTGAATGAGTACCTGCTGGCTCCGGTTTACATATTGGCGTTCTAGCTCAAGCACTTTCGGGTGCTGTTGCAAGATAGCCTTTGGTGCTTTCTGTGCCGAACGGCTTGCGATACCGTGCCTACATATTGGTTTGGTCCATGGATAAACCCTACACCGAGACCGTCAAAGAGGGCAAGAACAAGAAAGCAATCCACCTCAGCGTTTTGCTTGCGCTTGTGGCACTGGCATTTGGTTTGGATCAGCTTCTCTTTGGTTCTTTTGAAACGGCCAGTTTGAAACAGTTGTGCGGGAGTGCAGCAGATTTGTTGGTTGGATGTGCGCTGGCAGTGCTTGCGCTTCAAGCCTACCTTTGGCAAAGCAAGAAGCCCAGCCAGAAAGATCAAAAAGGTCAAAAGAGCCGTTTAGAACGCCCTGATGGCAAATCTGAAGCCTTCAAGGCAGCTCAAACCCAGCTAAACAGAGACTTGGACAAAGCCTCTCAGAACGGGGAGGCAAAAAGACTAGTGACAATGCTGAAAAAGTTCGAGGCAGAACATGGCTTGCCAGATGCTTTGAGCTACAACCTTGTACTTCGAGCACATGCCAAAAATGGAAGCTACAAAGATGCCGGTGAGTGGATCCTTCGAATGGAAGAGATGGGCAAGGCCACTGTTTGCAGCCCTTTGATGGCACATGGTGGTTATGTCATGTGGGTTTGCAAGGATGTATGTTCAAACAAGAGTTCTTTGTATTGGATGTTCCAGAGTTATGTTTGCTGATCTGATCTCTCGTTGTTTTGGTTTGCTAGGGCCACAACTGGTCCTCGAATAGTGGCCGTGGCAATTTTTAAAGCCAGTTGGGCTTTGGTCAACATGTTGCCCCGCGCGGCGTCTCCATTGCCTCTCGTAGGGTAGGAGGTTCAAAACGTCAAAGCACGTCGAAGTTGAGACGTACAGAAGTCTTGGTCACCTAGATGTGGGCCTGCCCCAGCATCCCTGCAATGCGCAACAGTGATTCATACGGGAAGGAGAATCATGCAAAATGACAGGCAGCTGATTACCTGCATGGTGCACGTTTGCCAAGGTTACAACACCATGCTGGATGCCTATGCCAAGGCAGGGAAAAGCAGAGCATGCGAGACTTGGCTGCAGCGCATGCTAGACAAAGGCCAGCAGCCAAATGTTATAAGCTTTGCTACTGTGATCCATTCCTTTGCCCGCCATGGGGATGAGACTTCTGCAAGCCGCTGGCAGACCAAGATGCTTGAGATGGGTGTGGAGCCTGCCACTTGGAACAAGTGACGAAGAGATGTGAAGACAGACCGTGTGAAAATGTGTGAATGTTCACTGTGGCTGCTGTTGATGGTCCTGCCTCTCATAACCGTCTTAACCATACCTCCGTTTTTCCTTGATCCGGACGTTTAAACTCAAACTTGGAGATTGAGCCACTTCAAATCTCACACATCAAAAGAACCAACCAAGACTGCAACTCCTGCTATGCTTTGAGATCAGGACACTGTAAGCTACAACTCCCTGATCCATGCCTGTGGAGTCAAAGGGAATATTCAATCGGCGGAAGCCTGGCTGGAAGACATGCTCAGCCGGAACTTACAGGCCAGCACTACGACCTTTGCCAGCCTCATTGATGCCTGTGCAAAGGCTGGTGATTTGGAGAAGGCAGAGAAGTGGATGGAGGACACGGAAAAAGAGGGACTCAGAGGGACGGAGTGATTTTGTTGCGATCTTCCACCCCTTCAGTGCTGGAAAACAGGTGGTTTCGAAGGGTTTCTTGCATCCCCCAAATCACTTGGCATCATCGCCAAAACTTAAACTCCAAGGTCCGAGGGTGTCAAGAGCACTACTTCGCTATGTTACTGATGTCAATCAACATGCCCTGGGAATGCTTCTCATTTGATCAGGAGATGTTGAAGCGTGGCATTGAACCAAACGTGGTGACTTTCGGTGCTGTTATCAATGCATGTGCCAAGGCCTCGAGCGAGGACCGTTTGCAGCGCGCGGAGTTTTGGCACAGTAAGATGCTTGAGATGGGCGTGGCACCCAATCTTCATACGTATAGCGCCCTGATCAATGCATGTGCCAAAGCAGGCAAGGCAGATGAGGCAGAGAAGTGGCTGTTGGATCTAGAAGGCTCTGGCCTACAGAGCGATTCCATCGTTTATGGTAGTGTCATGGATGCCTGTGGAAAAGCCGGTGATTGCGAGAAGGCCTTGGCCATGTTTAAGCGGATGCGGTCCAGAGGAATTCGGGCTCACGTGGTCACATATTCTGCTCTTGCCCGACCATTTGCCTACAGAGGCAAGTGGCAACAGGTCGAAGACATAGCAGTAGAAATGCAGAAAGAAGGTCTAAAGCCAAACGAGTTCTTCATTTACGCACAGCTCCTGGCCTATGCAACAGCAAAACCCAAAGAGACACAGCGCGCTGAAAGCTGCATTTGCGAGGCCATTCATGCGGGTGTTGTGCCAAACCAGCACATTTTCGGGGGCTTGGCTCGTGCTGTGGGCCGAAAGCGTGCAACGGAATTGCTGGAAAGTCTTGGACACAAGATTCAGAGTCACAAGGGATGACATGGCAATGAGAAGTTAAAAAGGATTTATATACTGTAAGTTGGCTATGAGCTGCATAGATTCTGGCGGCGTGCACTTGCCCTGACAAAAGCTAAGCAGAGGAGTTTGAGCAATTGACTTGCACTATCTAGCGCTGGCATGAAGATGTTCGAATTCGACCCTTCGGATCAGAGACCCACAAACTCAAGCATCAAAGAAGCAGCAATGCAGGGCAAGCATCGCTGAAATCACGACTCCAAGCAACATACAGTTCACAAGCAGTTCTCATAGCAATTTGGAATTCAGAGAATTGGGCCCGTGGCCCCGGCACCTGACCGAGCGCCATGGGTCTTATGAAAATCCTGAGGTCATGGGTCGCAAAGTTGTATACTTGTCTTCACGCCATGTTCCACCAAAAAGTTTTTGACTTCGCTCTGTACCCATTGACTTGGAGAGGAAAATGAAGCAAGAGGAGAAGGCACTGTGGCATGCATTTTGGTCTTTTTGTGGCCGTGTCTTGCCGAAAGTATGTTTAAGTCAGGAGATCCGCCTGCTGATGTTGGGCCTGGACAATGCAGGCGCTAACTTCTATTATATAGTGCTGATATGCTGCATCATTCAAACCAGTTCGTGCTAGGCAAGACTACAATCTTGAAGAAGCAACCCAGCTGTAAAAATGTAACCTTGGTTCTTTAAATCAAGTGGTCTTGGTTTTTGCCAATGTCCAAGGTTCAATGGAGAGCCGGTGGATACGATCTCCCCCACGTTGGGCTTCAACATAAAAACAGTGGAGTGGGGAGCCAGGATGAATGAAGGCATGCATGTTTGGGATCCTGTGTTCGTCAACTGTGAGGTACGAAGGCTACAAGCTTAACATCTGGGATGTTGGTGGCCAAAGAACGATCCGAAGTTATTGGAGGACCTGGGTGTGTGCATGAGCATGTCTTCAAGATGATCAACCCAGCTTCAACCTAAAGAGCCAAAAAGAGCTTGCAAGGAATTACTTCGAGGCCACCGACGGCTTGATTTGGGTATGGCCCTGACCTGCCGCAGCTTTGGCGAAGTTAGCAGGAAGATATGCCTTGAGGTTGTTGATTCTGCAGATAGGCAACGGCTTGAGGCCCGGCTTTGACTTTTCGTGCCGGCAGAACAGGGCCAAGCATGTTCTTGGATGGGGGAAGTGTCAGCAAATTATTTGTGGTTGAGCTGCTGTATTGTCATGTTTTGCTGGATAGTTTCGCGGGAGCCAGGACTGCAAGCAAGAGCTGGCCCTTTGGCTGAATTTGAGGGGTGCTCACTCCGTTCGTCAATCTGGGTCACAAGGGTGATTTCAGCATCAATGAGGAAAGGCTGTTGCAGGAGGAGCGGCTAGCAGGCACCTGCAAGTTTTAGCTTGTGGAGAGAGATCTGAGTGGCAAAACCACAGCGGGGGAAAACACAGGTGCTACTCTTCTGATCTTTGCGAACAAGCAGGATCTTCCAGGGGCAATGATCGGGATCTTAGCTTGTCTGAATTAGATCATTTTCCATACGATTCACATTTGGTTCCCCAGAATGCATTTGTCGCTTGAGGAACGCTTCTGAAATTCGGGATTTCTTGCAACTTGACCAGATCAAAAGACGTCACTGGCAGGCTCCCCAGCAGCGCAACACGTTTGACCAATGCATAGCACAGCCTGTCGTTGAGCAATGGCTGAGGTGTATTTTGGCCTGCTCGGCATACACCGGTGAGGTGGGCCTTCATAAGTCTCCACACCAAGGCAATTGACAGAACCACTACACGGCTGTCAAGTCAACTCATGTCGCCAGGGCCTTTTGGAAGGAGTGAAGTGGCTAGTTGCAGACATTTCTTCGAGGATATTCTGTCTGGATTAATCGATCCGGTGAAAAGGAGTTTCTGGGTGCTGGTAAGGTAATCACGGTTAATCTTAACTTCATTGTGAAGGCCAAATATATATATATATATACAATTTTGATATATACATATAACTATGAATTAGCCCAACTAAAGACCCCAATAGCAAAATACAAATCGGGACAAAAAGAAAAATCTGGAAACAATTACTGTGAAAACACGGGAACACGAAAGGAGATCAAACCGAGTTCACCGTCGATGCGGAACGCTCTAAGTTTCCGTCTGCTGCTGTGGGGACCTTTTCTCTCAAGATCAAGTACGGGCGGCCACGTCATGTGGCTCAAGCGCGCTAACGAAAGGAGCGGCGCGGCGAGTGCAAACTCGAACGCAGTCATCATCAAATGACTTCAACTCATGTCTATTGCTCGAAATTCACACTGGTGGAAAAGTAAGAAATTTTGACCTTAGGTCAAGTCTCTCACCAGCGATCCTTTTCGATCTGCTTCTCGCAGATCTTGCAACTCTCTATGGCCGTCTGGCCATATGCGTTGTGGAATGCTGGACACTGTGGGTCTACATGGAACTTTGTTCCACGTGTGGTCATGAAAACTTCCTTCGGGATCGAAGTTTCTCTGCAGTTCTGGATTCTGCGGTGCTCTTGCTGCAGGACATGGTGTTGGCCTTGTAGGCTTTGGAGGGCTTGAACTGTGCGTTGGTATGAAGCATTTGCGAGTCGTGCTTCGGTGGTTGCTTCTCTCAAACCAACTTCATACTCATCCATTCGATCATCTTGTCGATGGACTTCAGCTTCCAGGTAGTTGATCCTGTGCTGGAGCATTGCATTCGCTTCAATGTGCTCTTTCACTTCATTTTTCAATCTTTCATTCTCTTCACGAAGTCGGGTCGGCACCAGCTTTTGAAGCTGTTCTGTCGTTTGGGCGGAACTTTCTGTAGTTTCCACCTCATGACTTTCTTCACTTTCCATGTCCATCAAGTTCTGGGACTTCTCATCGTTCATCACCTTGCCGATGACATTTACAAGGGCCTTGAGCATGTTCATGAAAGCTTGAGAGGCACCAAAAAAGGCGAGTGCAGTAAACAGCATGAAAACATACATGTTGTAGGTCTCGTTGGTATCACCTGTTTCACTTGCTGCTTGTGCTACACTTGATGATCCCAAGATGATCATCATTGCCAATCCTCTTCGGGCTTCAGCTTTTGTCAATGCATTGCGGCGTGCATTGTCATGTCGTTCTTTAGGACTTTTCTTCTTGGCAGCGGTGAAGCTCTGGTCGGACTGGAGGGTGAACATGTGTGTTCGTAGGCGGTCTGCCATGAGCTGCCTTGAAGCCACTTTGGTAAGGCCGTCAGCCAGTTGAAACTCACTGGACATCCACTTCAGGAGACATCCTGTGGTGGTCATCTTCTCTTTGATCACCAAGGCCTCGATCTGGGTGCGTTTGTCCCCAGTCAACTGTGGTGCTTCGCTTTTGAGGCAGTCATATAGGGCTTTGGCATCGACCACAAGTGCACACGGTAGTCGACCAGTTCTCTCATCCACATTTGAGGTGGTGAATGAGCTGTTGACACATCCCTTCCAAAACAATTGGATGTACTCGAGGGAATCCATGGCGGCACTGCAAGCTTGAGATTCGGAGTTCAAACTGCTTCTGCTGATTCGTGGCAGCTTGTATGATCTCCAGTCGAGGATGACATACTTGAAATCGCCACTCTTTTGCAGAACGTCCTTGTGGGACAGCAGGATGAAGTATCCTCCTTGGCTCAAGTGATCGGGGCGGACACCCCATGCAGCGTCACTGACAGCGGTCAAACATAGTTCATTCAAATCACCCAATCTTGTGAACTGTAGGGAGGCGTCCTTGTTGTTCTTGGCAAACCTGAGTGCTTTGTTTGCAGCTTTTGCTATGGACTCTGTTGCACCGTTGATGCTACCACAAAGTAGGGAGATTGAAGCGCTCAAGTGCGGCATCGACTGTGTTGATGGCCATTGTAGTGCTCCCAACAATCCTCGGAGTGCTGACACTTCTTTTGGAGATAGAGGATCATGGTCTCCTTTTGGCGTCGTTGTCAGAGGTTTCACTCCAGGGATGTAGTCTTCCTGGTGCAATTGCCATGTTTGTTCACCAGTCTTCTTTAGTTTGCAGCCACAAAACTCAAGTTGTTTGCCTTCTGCCTCTTCACTCCAATGCTTGAAGTCGAAGGTCTTGCGAAGATCACCTTTGACCTTTTGGTACATCGATGAGCTTGGATCGCCTGCACCTAGCATGTCATCAACGTGGAGGCCAATCAAACATACCAAGCGGTCATTCTCATCGAACAGTCGGAAGAGGCAACATTCGAGGGGATGAGGTGCAAATCCCACCTGTCGAAGCTTCCTGGTTGCAACTTTGTACCATTCACGTGGTGCGTCAGCTTGACCATAAAGCGGTTTCTTCAACTTCATCAACGCGCCACTCTCCAAGTTCAACATTTTGCAGGCATCATGCGGAAGCTTTGCCCACAACTGGCGAGATTGAGGATCGCCTTGGAGGAATGCTGTTGCAACGTCGCTCACCCACTTTTCCCAATTTTCATTGCATGCGATGGCCAACAAAGTTTGGCGAGCTGTTCGGCACAAAGTGGGACTGCTTGTTTCCAACTTCCCTTCAAGAAGGTCAGGGTCATTGAGCCCTTGGAGGACGAGGCGTGCTTTTGCTCGTTGTTCACCTCCTGCCCCAGTGCGCCAAGCGAGAACCCATCTTGCTCGAAGTATGCGATCTGGAGCGACATTGTGTGGATGTAGTTCCACCTCCCAAACACCATTCTCAAAGATCGAGCTAAGTTCACTTTTCTTGCCTTCAACGAATGCGAGACGATCTTCCCAGGAGAGCTTCTTCTCATCAACATTGGAGGGTGTTGGCTTCTTCTTTGGTGCAGTGACTGCAGCCCAAATATGCCCACGGCATCGCAGCGTCCAACGGGTGTTGAGCTTGTCCTTGAGATCACCAGCATAGGGCAGGTGTCGGCTCTGCGCTGCTTCTTTTGTGAGCGGGAAGAGAGTTTTGCCAACCCATTGATCCTTGCCAATTGAGTAGGTCTCCTTGTTGTTCACAAAAACTTGGCGAGATCCATTTGGCAGGGTCAAACCAGTTGTTGATTGAAGTTCTTCTGCTGCTACTGGAAGTGGTGCTTCTTCGGAAGTGAAGGTGGAGTTTCTGGACCACATATGGTTGCGAACAAGAAAGCCGTCTTCAAATCTCCAATAGTCTTTTGTTTCACCCAGCACGAACTCTCCGGTGGCCTTGTCGAACGACCAGCCTTCTACCAAGTTGTTGAGGCTGTCGGTGTTCATGGTGTCATCAAGGGCCAGGAGGTCGGTGTCAACTTGCAAATCTTCTTCCTGTGGTCTTCGGATCCTTTTGTTTCTATGCTCTTCTGCTGGCTCAGTGATGGGAACCACTGGATGAACTCGTCGAGCTTGTATGGTTTCTTGTTGGTCAAATCGACGACGACGTTCTTCAAAGGTTTCTTGAGAGCCGGCTGGTTGAGCATATAGTGGATCAAGTTCCCACTCCGGATCAGGATCTGGCTCTGCCACTGAAGGTGACACATGTTGTTGTGGTTCATCAAGATCTTGATCTTCAGGAACTGGTGGAAGTTGACCTGGGTCCATTGGTACATCAGGTTCTCCAACAGGATGCTCGGGAGGTTCATTATGACCTGGTGATTCACTTTGACCATGAGGTTCGTTCGGACCTGGAGGTTCTGAAGCATCTCCTTGATTGAGAGGTGCTTGATGGTGTTCATTTTGAAGTGGTTCCAAGTCAATGTTTACCTCAGGAGCCAAGAGTTCTTCAGCTTCTGCGTGGTCAGGGTCCATGTCGTCAAGACTTTGGCGATTGGTTCTTTCGAGATCGATGATGCGGACGACGCGTCGCTGTCGGAGTCCTTCCATTGCTTGGATTGCACGCTCTGTGGAGCCGATGGAGCCTTGCAGGTTCGGAAGTTTCCTGACATGCTGCTTGCCAGCTCTCAACAACGAAGTTCCGTGTGCAATCCAGTAGGTGTCAACCACATTGGTGTCAGGATCTCGCTGAACAGCTAGAACCACTGCTGGACCACGCCATTGAATTGTGTGGAACCGATCATTGGACTCTCTCCAGTAGAGGCATCGTTCTCCTGGAGATAGGTCTTCGTTTTGGCCAGTGAACCTTCTCAGCAATGCTCTTCTGAGCTTGACATCAATCTCAGCTTTGGCGCATGCGGCATGGGCACTTGCTCGTAGTTGAAGCTTCTTGTACAACCGTTCTTGTTCAGTCGTTTGTAGCTGAAGAGGTGAGGTGCGTTCATCACTCAGCAAACCAGGCACATTGGGTTGCCTGCCATGAGCCAATTGACACGGTGTGTAGCCGTTGACAAAGGTGTTGTTGTTCAAGGAAGGGACAATCCAATTCAATGCATCTTGGAGTCCAACAAGTCCTGTCAACTGATGCTCACGGATGAAAACTGCAAGACCTCTTCGAAGAAGTTGATGTCGTCGTTCAACAATGCTTGTTCTTGTGTGGTCTTGCCCTGGTGAGATTCTCATTTCAATGCCATGTTCTTCAGCCCACTTCATTGAGTTGTCACTTGCCCAACCGGTGGCCTCATCGACAAAGAGACGTTCAGGAGGGCCATGATGTCGGATCCAACCTCGTTCGAAGGCTTTTTGTAGTGAAGGACCTTGCTCATCAGGAACGGTTCGGGCACTCATGAACCGAGTTGCTTCATCAACCATGACGAGGATGGGGATCTTCTTGCCCTTCCGCTTGGTGGCTCCGTCAGGATCCTCATTCACGAGGTCATGCCACATCACATCAGCTTGTACGTGGGTGTTGAAGTTCTCGGCTCTGCTGAGATGAGCTGGAGCTGCACCTTTGCGGACTGCAAAGTTCTTGCAATATGGACATTCAAGATCTTCGGCTGCCTTGATGATCTTTTCACCACATCCACGTTGGCGAAGGAGGGAAACTAGAAGTTCTTTTCGTGGACGTCC